TTTATAAGACAGGATGACCCAAACTTTCATTTCTGAAGAGTCTGAACCATTCACAGTTCTGCCTGGATTGGGTTATTGTAGCTTCCCATCCTCCTTAATCACAAGGTGTGGTACTACTACCAGACACCCTATGGGATCTCCTGTATTCCAGACATATTTTCCCTTTTCTCTATTGTGAAGTAGTATCCAGTTCCCCCTTGGTAGTCCAGACCAATCACCCTTCCCTAACTCCCTTCTTAGCCTGTAGACTCAGAGGCAGGAGTAGCCCAAAGTGGCCAGGTGGCAGTCTGAGCTTTCAGTTCAATAGAATCACTATTGCATCTCCTGGTAGAAGCATTCCTCCCTCTGGAAGTAAGATCTCTAGGGCAGCAGAATGTAATGTCGTGGAACAGGAAGAAAAAATTTGCTAGTGGGTCACTACGGGTAATAGTGAGTGGAGCTACTCCTATGCTCCCTCCTTGATTCCTGGACCCATGAATACAAGCTCTCAGAGAAACAGCACCATATTGGATGCTGGTTCAGAACATATACAGCCTTCTGGAGAGCCTTACCTCACCCCTGTAAAGTATTATTAACTAGCTGGCTGCGATTTCGAAAGACCATTCCACTGTTCCATCAAGCCAGCTGTTTCAGGATGGTAGAGAACATGGTAATATCAGTGAATTCTATGGGCATTAGCCCACCAGCACACTTCTTTGGCTGTGAAGTGAGTTCCTTGGTCAGAAGCAATGATGTGTGGAATACCATGATGGTGGATAAACCATTCTGTAAGTCCAAGCATGGTAGTTTTGTCAGAAGCATTGTGTGCAGGGAAGGCAAATCCATACTCAGAGTCAGTGTCTATTCCAGTAAGGACAAAATGCTGCCTTTTCCATGATGGAAGTGGTCCAGCATCATCAAACTGCCACCAGGTAGTTAGCCGATCACTCCAAGGAATGGTGCCAAATTGGGTGCTCCTTGCTGGGTTCTGTGGCTGGCAGACTGAGGACTCAGCAGTGACCACTGTAGCCAGGTCAGCCTTGGTGAGTGGAAGTCCATGTTGCCGAGTCCGTGCATAAACTCCACCTCTGCCATCATGGCCACTTTGTTCATGAGCCCATTGGGCAACAATGGGGTGGCTGAGGAAAGAGACTGCCTGGTATTCATAGAACACGTCATCCTATTCACATGATTATTAAAATCCTCCTCTGCTGAGGCCACTCTTTGGTAAGTATTCACCTGGGACACAAACACCCCCATGTTTTTTGCCCATTTAGAGAGGTCTATTGACATAACTCATCCCCAAATTTCTTTGTTACCAATTTTCCAATAATGTTCTTTCCAAGTTCCTGACTATTCAGTCAAACCATTGGCTACAATATATCAATATATAGTTACACATCTGGCCACTTCTCCTTCCAAGCAAAGTGCACAGCCAGGTGCACTGCCCAAGGTTCTGTGAACGGAGATGATTTCCCTTCACATTGTCCATCAGAAATGTCCTAGAAAGGGACTGTAGTGCTGCTACAGGCCACTGCTGAGTGAGACCATCCACTTCCGGGTGATGCCTGCATATTATGCAGAAACATCTGTAAACCAGACCCTAATCTTCTCTTTTCTAGTCATCTGATCATAAGGTACTCCCCATGAACCCAAAGGTGCAGGCTGGGAGAAGATAGTGGAGCAGGAGTGGGGAGCATGGGCATCTGGTCCGCTTCTTCTCATCCCTTTTACAAAGTGTCATGTTGGTAATGTACTTGTACCTTCAGGACCTGCTCTGGTGTGGTCACATATATACCACTTCCATTTGATGGGGTAGAGGTGCTATGCATGTCAAACTTTATGGCTTAGTGGATCAGATAACACCTAATTCATGATGGGCAGCTTAAGTGGCATGAGAGCTTGGTGACCCATGGTCAAGAGTTCAGTTTCTACTAAGGCCAAGTGTCAGGCCAAGAGCAATCTCTCAACAGGATAGTAGTTATCTGTGGATGAAGTAGGGCCTTGCTCCAAACCCCAAACAGCATCCCCATCTGGCACTGACACCTTATGATCTGCTGGATCACAGGAACCAAGTGACAGAGCAGCTTTAACAGCAGTCTGGACCTGTTGCCAAGCCTTCTCCTGTTTTGAGCCCCACTTGGAGCCGACAGCTTTTTGGGTCACTCAGTGAATGGGCCAGGGTAACACACCCAAATGAGAAATGTGTTGCCTCAAAAATCCAAATAGGCCCACAAGTCGTCACACCTATTTCTTGGTTACAGAAAGGGCCAAATGTGACAACTTATCCTTCACCTTAGAAGGGGTATCTCAACAGGCCCCTCACCACTGGATCCCTAGAAACTTCACTGAGTAGAAGTTCCCTGATTTTTAGTTGAATTTATATTCTACCCACTGTCATACAAATGTCTTACCAATAAGTTCAGAATGGTCACTACTTCTCACTATGTCCAATCAGCATAATGTCACCAATGTAATGGACCAATGTGACACTTTTTAAAAGGGAAAGGCAGTCAAAATCCCTGCAAACGAAATTATGACCTAGTGCCGGAGAACTTAAGTATCCCTGAGGTGGGACAGTAAAGGTGTATTGCTGGCCTTGTCAGCTGAAAGCAAACTACGGTAGATCCTATGGACAGATATGGTGAAAAATGCATTTTCCAGGTCAATAGTTGCATACTAGGTATCAGGAGATGTGTTCATTTGCTCAAGCAATGAAGCTACATCTGGTACAGCAGCTGCAGTTGGAGTCACCATTTGGTTAAGCTTACGATAATCTACTGAGGGTCCATAACAAATGAAAAACAACTCACAACTTTGTTACATAAAAGTTGAGCTAGACTGGTCCCATGAGGTTACAGGACTTTTAAGAGGTGTCTGGGTTATGAGAGCTCTTCCCTCGTATATAGATCAAAGTAATAATATATTATCACAAGAGTAGCTCAGGTATGGCGGGAGTGGGTTCATCCCCTCTTAAAAAGAGAGAGAAAGCGCGCGCTCTCTCTGTCTCTCTGTGTGTGTCTTGTCTCTCTTTTACCCTCTCACCTTCCACCATATGATGACTCAGCAAGAAAGCCCTCACCAGATGCTAGCACCTTGATCTTGGCCTTCCCAGTCTCTAGAACGTGAACCAGTGAATTCCGTTCATTATAAATTACCAGTCTCAGGTGTTCTAGTATAGCAGCACAAACAGACTAAGACACTTAATTTCCAAGCAGCACCCAGGAACCTGACAGCGGGGGGCCCCAAATTTCAGCTCACCAGATGACAGGAAGTAGGGTGAACATTTCCAAACTTTCTTCCATATTTATGTATTTTTATCAATGTTTAATAATGTCCATTGTGGGGGTGTGTTTTATAACAGAAATAATATATTCGTGCAGTAAGTTGCATCTACACATCGCTTATAAACACGTAATCAATATATGCCATTTATAAATAAATAAATGCACCAGCACACTGGTTTGGAGGCAACTGATCTACCTGAGGAGGCATCCTGTAGGTTGAAGTGGAGCCTGATCTGTGCTCATATTCTGAGTCAGACCTTGGCAGACTTGCAGCTCCGGTGCCAGCAGGCAAAGCAAGCCGTGTGGGCACAAGTTAAGTTATTCCTCACAAGCACAGCAGCAGGCGTTCCAGAGAGAAAACTTGGAAGCCAAACTGACACATTCCAGTCCTCTCTGAGAGTGCCAGCCACATGAGGTGTCAGGGCACCTGGCTGAGCATTTCTGGAGAGAAATGAGAGCATGCAGGGGAAGGGGACGTGGGTGATGGCAAGGAAAGCCTAGCACTAGATCAATGACAACAATAGCAAATGTTGCTCTCATTTATTGATCATCTACTTCTTGCCAGCATCTATGCCAAGTTTTAGAAGCAAATTACTTGATTTAATCCTTATGAGGTAGGTACTCTATTCCCCATTATATAGAGGAGGAAACAGGTTCAGAGAGGCAAAATGATTTGCGTAAGGACACACAAAGTGAAGGAGAAAGATTCTGGTTTTTAGAAATATTGGCTCTCCAAAATTGCAATGAGATCCCAATGGAAACACTAGGGATTTTTAAACATTGAATTCTGAGCAAGCCACACAATAGAGCTATGCACTAATGATGACACTTTCACCTCTTCGTGGAGCATTTATTCTGTGCAACACTCTGCTGAACCTTGTACAGATGCCTCTTTTAACTCCCGAGGGACCCTGAGAGATGAAGGGAGGGGAAAGGAGGCTGACTCATGCAGGCTTCCTGGTGCTTCCTCAGCAGTGGGGACTCTGATGTTGTCAGGGTCAGACCCACGGGATGGGGACCTTGGTGAACTGAAGCTCAAAGAGCCTGGCTGAAGGAAGTGCTCTTTCTCAGCCCCATGCAATTGCTGCCCTGAGGCAATGAGGGCTAAGTTTTGTTGGATCTTCAGATTTTCCAATAGAAGACAGAAACCTGGACTTGTACCTAAAATCTCCTGGTTTTATACCTTAACAATTTTTTTAGAATTTAAAACACTGCAGACCAAACAAATGGCCTCCATGGCCCAGGAGACCTCTGCACTGAGTGCTGACTTGCAGTATTCTTACCTTCTGGTACATATTTACTCTGAGGGGTGTGAGATGCTTTATCTCCTATGACAGGCTGGAATGTGAGTTTTGTTATTATCCCATTTTACAGAGGAGGAAACTGAGTCTGAGAGAACTGCACACCCAAGGCCACAGCCTAGCTCAGAGACAAGACTGAGAGCTAAAATTTCTCCTGGTTCAGATGCAAGGCTAGGAGCTAAAATGTCTCTTGGTTCTTTGACGGGGGCTGGCCTAGGGCTGCTTTGCTTTCAGCTGTCATTTTGAGCTGTCTCCAGCAGTGTGAAGAGGAGGGAGGAGAAAAGGATGAAAGGAGGGGACTGGAGTCCATCCAGTCTGTCCCAGCTCCTGCCAGGCGCCATCTGACCCTAGGAGAGCAATCCTGGACCCAAACTCTGGCCAAAGAGCCTCTCTCCTCCACTCAGGCCGGGAGGTTGCTTTCTAGGAGTTCAGAATGCAAAGGTGGACACTATGGGCTGCAGTCTTCCTGACCTTCCACTGGGCACAGGCCTTTCCACAAACAGACATCAATATCAGCCCAGGTAAGTGAAAGCACCAGGACTGGAAGCAGGCAGAGAGGCATACACTCTCAGGAACTTGTTCTATCAGTGAGGCCTGGCAGCTTCTGTTGGGGGGTTGGGGTGCCCTGATATTTTTCTCCCTACTAGCTTTGTCATGGACACTCTTCTAGGCCGAGACACAAAAAGTACTGGGCTTAAATCCCAGCTTTGCAGTTTACAAGTTGCGTGACATAGAGCAAGTTTCTTAATCTCTCTGAGCCTCAGCTTCTTCTAGAAGGTTGGGTCACAATGGCACTCTCTTTGGGCTACTGTGCCAGGCAGATGAGATAACATGGGGAAAGTGCTTTACACGGTTTCTGACACTACAGGAAGGTCTGACCATGGTAGTTTTGTGAGGGATTTGGCATCCGGGCCCCTACCCCACCTTGGCTGTAACAGCCTTCCTAGGGAGCTTTCAGAGCTGCTGCTGTGCCATCAGAGTTTAGGTGTACAGGAAGGGACACTTGTCCCTCTAATGACCTCCCTGCAGATACCCTCTAATTGCCTCTGCAGATACCCAGCAATACCCAGCCCTGTGGGGTTTCTGGGGCATCCCCAGGGATGAGAACCTGTCAGCCTTGGGCATATGGCCTCCCACTGTCCCATATGGAGGACGAGGGTCTTCACATGAACTCAATTTCTTTCACTTTGCAATAGGAGGGCTGGGGTGCTGATTCTGGGGGATCCCCATTTGGATAAGAAGAGTTCTGAATCCTGTAATTTGGTGGCTGAGGGTCTTGATTGTTCCCTCTACCAGGTTCTTTCCAGGCATTGTTTAAAAAACATAACATTAGCAATATCAATAACAATGACTAAGACTTACATAACCCTAGCTATGTGCCAGGCACAGCTCTAAGCACTTTTCAGATGTGGATTTATTTAATCCTCATAATAACCTTCATATATGGATTTATGTATCATCACAATGGCAGAGATACCATTTTTCAATCCCCATTCAAATAAAACTAAGAACGAAATACCTGGATGGAGATTCTCGTAAGGCCAAATTATTGGGCTGTGATAGTGTTAGGGTAAATTTAAACAGTGGGGTGATAAGGTTGCCAGATAAAATACCAGTAAATAAATACCAAAAAATTCTTTTTTAGTGTAAGCATCCCCCAAATGTTACATGGGACATACTTTTACTAAAAATCTGTTGTTTACCTGAAATCAAATTATCAAATTTAACTAGGTACCCTTTTTTTTTTTTTCTAGCATCCCTAGTGGTAACATTAAGGGGTAGTCTTAGTTCATTTGGGCAAGGGGTTTCAGTTCTGTCCTAAACTCTCTGAGTATATTAGTCAGCTCAGGTTGCCAGAGCAATATATCACAGACTGGGGAGCTTAAGCAACAAACGTTTATTTCTCACAGTTCTTGAGGCTGGGAAGTCCAAGGTCAGGATGCCAGCAGATTTTGTTCCTGGTGAGGACTCTCTTCCTGGCTTGCAGATGGCCACCTTCTCACTGTACCCTTACATGGCCGAGAAAAAGAAAGCTCTGGTCTCTTCCTTTCATAAGGGCACTAATCCCATACTGAGGATGGGAATCCCATTTAAATCTAATCACCAGTGGGAGTAACCAGCGGTGTTTTCTGTCTTTCGCTAGCTTGTGCCCATGGGACCTCTCTGAGACTCAAGTTTCCTCACCTCTCTGAGCCCCAGGTAGGGATAACAAGGGTCTCTATCAAGGATTTTGGAGATCTTCAATGAGCTCATGCAGGTGAAATGCCTAGCACACAGCAAGCACTTGAAAAATAGTAAGCCCTTGAAAATAAGTTATTACCATGACCATGTTTGTCATTGTGGTTGTTGCTCTTATGCCAGAATTGGCCAGGAGACAGTTTTCTGTTCTGACAAAAGACTTAAACATTGAAAGGAACTTCTCTAGACATCAATCTCCAAGCCTCACCCCTACTCTATAGATAAGGGAACTGAGATCGTGTCAATCCCAGCTACCTGGGAGAGCTCAGAGTTTGGAATTGGAAGGATGATTTTAGAAATCCACTCAGTCCAACCTTTCCATATTACGGCTATGGAAACTGAGCCTACAGAGGCCAGTTGAGCCAACCATGGTCATCATTGTCCAAGTGGTAGTTCTACTGCTCCCCAGGCTCCCAGACCTGCAGAAAGCCCAGTTTCAGCTTATGCAGACAGATTCTTGAGAGGAAAGTGATTTCAACACAGAGAGAATGTGTGTGAGTTTATGAGTGCCTGTGAGCAGAAGCATGCATGTTGATATGTTGTAGGGAGGATTTAAGGGTCTCTGTGGGCCTCTGCAGACCATGAGAATACATGCACCTCCAAGACCCTCCTTATTGAGAACGGGCTTGGTTTTTCCTCTTCTTCTGGATACCCCCAGCCTTTAGTGCAAGGCATAAGAGGGCACTACTCCAGAACTTTCATCACTCATCCCTTGCGTATGCAAATATATGTAGATAGCACAACTCAGCCTCCCCCTATGTTTTGGAAGAAAAAAAAAATACTCTTCAGACATCTTTAAGAGGCTTGGGAGGATTTAGCCAGACCAAATCCTTTTTCCAAAACCCCTTCTCTAAACCTGCCTTTGATCTCATTGTTTAAGTGGATTAATGAATGTGAAGTCCTCAGAACAGTGTCTGGCACCCAGTAAGAGCTATGTACGTATTATTCTTCTTCAACCATCAAAAAGTTTACTTTCCCTGACCTGACCCCAAGAACTCTCTGTAGCAAAGGAAATTTATAGCAAAGTGTTCTGCAGCTCAGGGCCTGCTTCTGCAGGGCTTCAGGAGTGCAAATGGGGAATGAGTCAAGTTCTGTAGCCTCTTCCTCACCCATCCAAGAGCCTCGCGTTGCACTCTCAACTCTGTGAAGGTTCTGGGACCCAGGCTGTTTCTACTGTAATAATATCTAATACTAGAATGCCTGCCTATGAGCTGGAACTGGCTTTTCTGTGAAGAAGGCATTATGATCATGACAACTGTACTGTTGAGAAAACTGAGCCCCCAAGAGCTGAGTTTCCCACTAGGACCATCTGATTCCAGAATCCAAGCTCTGAAGTTGGAGCACAGAGATCTAGGCAATGGTGTTCTTACCTCCTAGAGCAGCCCGGATCCTAAAGTGTCCCTTGGACACTCAGTCCAGTTTCCACTTCTCCTCTATGGTCACAGAGCAAAGCACTCTGTACATACTTCTGGAATACTTAGTATGCGATGACTCTGCCAGTGTGTGATTTCCTCCTCCCAGACTGTGAGCAACCTAAGGGCACAGACCTCAAGCCAAATAGGCACCCAGGAAACATCAACTTATTTGCTTAATTGTTAAATTTGATGTTTAATATATTTATTTCACAAGTGAGAAAACCAAGACCAGAAAGAAGATGTCTTCTAGAGGCGCTAGTCTGTTCAGGAGTTTCTAAATCTGTCAGACTCGAGTCTCAATCAAGTCTCAATCATGGCTCTGCCACTTTTGAGCCAAGATAGTAAGTGACTTACCTTCTCTGAGCCTTAGTCTCCTCATCTGTAAAATGGGGATGATACCAATTCCCTCCTAGGCTGATCTCAAGGAGTCACATACTAAACACCCAATAAATGGTTGCTATTATTAGTAATGTAAAAAATTATGTAATGCTTTTTCCTCTGTTTCATGTGGCCTCAAGAGTGGCTCACAGAAGGGACAGCAAAGCTTAGACAGGAGAGCCCTAGGGCCACCAGTTCCACTTCCCAGAGCCAGGGCTCACTGTGAAGGAAGCGGCAGAACCCGCGGGACAGCAGGAGGGGAGTGAAGGTGACCGATTCCTCGGGAAGCAGCAGCCATCTTCCTGGAGTCTGTGAGACACTTTCTTCCCCACCGCCCAGTCTCCTCCCCCAACACACCAGAAGTGTCTGGGGCCCAGTATGGGGACCGGGTGAACAAATGTGGCCCCTACACCTCCCCACCTCCCCTGCTGGCTGAGTCCCAAGGCTGATCTGGGCAGGAGGCAGCAGGGTAGTGCATTCGTGGGCGGCTGGATTGTGGCCAGGGGAGCCAGCAGCCAGATTGAGTAGGAAGGTGACAATTTATTCCTTTAAAAAGAGTGGGGGTAGGGGAGCCCTGAATTCCACTGATGTGTTTTTTTCCCCCTAACAAGCTCAGAGTTCCCAAAGGCTTTGACTCTCACCCCAGCTGGGGGACCTGGGGCCTCTGGTGCTGCTAATTGAAGGAAAAGACCAGGTGGTTTGGCTTCCTGGTTTCCAGAGCAACAGCCCCTTTGTGTGCCCCCTCCCCTCCGCCTCTCTCCCTCCACTCCCCCTCCCTCATGCCATTCTCATCTCTTCCCTCCTCTCCCTCCCAAATCCCCAGCGTGCTAAACTATTTCTAATTCTCCAATGCTCCATTCTCTCTCACACTCCCAGACCTCCGCACACACAGTGCCCTACCCCTGGAACAATCTTTCTCTGACTCTTGTTCATCCTCCAGGTCTCAGTTGAGACAGCACCTCTTCCAGGAAGCCTCCCAAATCTCCAGATCTGGGTTATGTTCCCCTTTTAGGTGTTCCTGTGGCAACACCCCCTTTTCCCCCATCCAGGAAGGGAACTCATGGTGCCTTGTCATAGTCACCTGTGGGCTCCTTGAAGATGGGGACAGGGCAGCCACCAATTCAACTAGGGAGACAAAGGGGCAAAGAAGCAGTTTCCAGAATAATCGAGAGGGCTGCTCCCTGAAGTTTTCCTGGCATGACACACATCCGCAAATTATATTAATTACATCTTTATTTTTGCACTTCTTTTTCTTTCTTTCTTTTTTGTTATTTTAGAGACAAGGTGTTGCTCTGTTGCCCAGGCTGGAGTACAGTGGTACGGTCAGAGCCTGCTGCAGCCCGGAGCTCCTGGGCTCCAGTGATGCTCCCTCTTCAGTCTCTTGAGTAGCTGGAACTACAGGCATGTGCTGCTACACATGGTTAATTTAAAAAAATTTTTTTTTTTTTTTTGTGAAGGTGGAGTCTTGCTATATTGCTCAGGCTGGTCTC